TGACACGGGTAGTCAACACCCCAGAATGGCTTGACACGGGTAGTCAGCACCCCAGAATGGCTTGACATGGGTAGGTCGGGAACCCCATAATTGCCCGGCAACTTGTATAATTGTATAGTATGTGGTATGATGGGGGAACTCACTAAGCTTTGTGCTTACAGTTTCAGTTTTGGTTTCAGGTACCTCTTCATCCAAGGGGAAGGAGCCGACGGCGTAGCAGCGCATCACACACACATGGTTTCCGCAATGAGTTTTCTAGGATTGTACTCTGATTTATATTATTGTTCGATGTTTTGATTTTGAGACATGTTCACGATGGTTTATGGATTGATATGATATTGACAATGTTTTCAGTAAACGATTTTATAAATTACTTAATTACAAACGAAATTTTTGGACTCGGAATTTGGGATGTTACAGCATGCCATTGTTGCAATATTGTACCTGAATGGAAATGCATATGACTATGTAGCTGTGTGGTTTAAAACAAGCGTGTTTGAAAGTTTCTATAGGTATCCAGTCAAACCAATTAATGGAGCTAACATGTGGCCTGATGTTCCATGTGATCCCATATTACCACCTAGGCGTAGGAGAATGTCAGGAAGGCCCAAAGTAAACAGAAGGAAATGTCCTACAGAGAAAGAAGGAAAGCATACAATTAACAAGAGTGGGATGTCCATCTCAAGATGTGGTAATTTTCATAAAGAATGACACAACAAGAGTTTACAGAAGGTTGATTTTTATTATTATTATTCATTCATCTACATTTGTATAATAATAAATTTATTTGTTTTAAAAATGCAGCAGATAATGTGCATAATGAGGAACCAATTGTTGGTGATGAAGGGAATGTTCATGGTGATATTGATGTTGAGGTTGATGATGAAATTGACCACCATGAGGATGATGTTGAAGACCACCAAGAAGATGACGTTGAAGACCACCAAGAAGCTGATGTTGAAGTTGACCACCAAGAAGCTGATGTTGTAGACCACCAAGAAGCTGATGTTGAAATTGACCACCATAAAGTTTTTGTTCAAGATGAAGTTGTTGTTCAAAATGAAGTTCAAGTTGACCACCATGAAGCTATAGTTCAAGTTGACCACCATGAAACAGTTGTTCAAGTTGACCACCATGAAGCAGTTGTACAAGATGAAGTTGTTTTTGCTCAGCATCAACCTATCTTTTATGACCATTTTGTTGCCAACAAGAGGCGATTACCTTCCGAGAGGATCACAAAACTAAAGTTAAGGAAGAAAGTGGTAACAAAAGATGGAAGTGGGGAAAGTTATGAAAATCCAGTCACTTTAAACTAGGATAGGTGTTATCTATTAGGATTATGTCAAACACTATGAAATGACACATCTTTTGGTGCTTAGTGTACATCTTTTGGTGCTTAAGCTTTCCTTTTGGTGCTCTGCACATTTACCAACATTTAGTGCCATGTGCACATGCTTGATTATGTGGTTTAATTATGCTTAATATGTAGTATAAATGGTTTATTACTTTTTATGCATATTCTAAAAGTTTACCATTTTGCCCATGCTGTTAAAATTGTGTTAAAATAGGTAAAACAGTTTTGTGGGGCTTGTTTTATGCATATTCTAAAAGTTTACCATTTTGCCCCTGCATTTCTGTATAACACTTGGTAAAATAGTTTTGTGTGGGTTTGTTAATGTGTATGATTAATGGACCATTTTTCCCATGCTAAATGGTTTAATCCGTAGATATTAATGGACCATTGTGCCCATGCTATTATCATTCAATAAAAGTATAATACTATTATGTGTATGTTAGAGATCATGGAATTTTGGACACTTAAAACAGTTTAACATAGTTCAAACAGTTTTATGGACACTTTTGCCCCTACTATTATCATTCAATAAAAGTATAATACTATTATATGTATTTTAGAGATCATGGAATTTTGGACACTCAAAACTGTTAAAACAGTTTAAAATATTTTCAAACAGTTTTATGGACAATTTTGCCCCTATTGTTATCATTCAATAAAAATGCAATGCAATTATGTGTAGTTTCAATAAAAGTACCTTATGTTGGAAGACCGTTTGAAACAAAAATTACATACATAGTTTCAAATAGTTTTACGGACCATTTTGCCCCTGCAATTATCATTTGATAAAAGTGCAATGCTATTATGTGTATTTTCAATAAAAGTTTCCTTTTGTTGAAAGACAAGACACATAAACACCTTCTTTTCATTCCCACTTCATACCAACATTACATGAGTTCAAAGTACATTTCCCTTTACATTATCATACACATTAACACTACATCATGTACTTCACTACAAACAAAACAACAAACATCAACACGAAACATTTCATTTTATCCAATTCCTGTCTAAAACTCTTACATTCCTTATCAGTCTTCACCTTGTACTCACTGAAATCATGTTCCAATATTACAATCTTCACTTCAGTATTAAAATCATGTTCTTCATATTTCTTATTCTTGTTCTTGGTTATAATTTCTTCATCTTTGTCAACCCATTCCCAGAAATCACATTTATCCTTTGGATCCTTCATCTACAATTATAACATAAACAAACAATATTAAAGAAGAAAAACAAGAAGGGACCCAAACAAGAACAAGCTTTTAGGTACACTTACCAAAGAGTTAGGACAAACCCTAATTTTTTTACCAGGATTTGCCTTTGTTGTTGATATCCAGATTCGAGAAGGAAACCCACAATCACAAGGATTTGCCTTATCAATTGTGCTCTTTGACTTGGAACTTTTTGACCTTGAGCAGGAGTTGAAGGATCGAGATGAAGAAGCCATGTTGAAGAAGTCGATTGATCAAGGAGTCGTGTCCATTATGCCCTAAATCCATGGACTTATAAGATGTAATTTTCGTCTAATGCCACATAGATACGCCAACACACCACATACATATGCCAACTCAACAGTAATTTGCCAACTCATTTTCCCCTCAATCTTTCACCTGCAAGACCCGGTCACTCTTATAAAACGTTAATTTTATTGGTAACTTTAATTGGCTTTTAAAAACAAAACGTTAATATATTGGTTTTTCTTGAACAGCTAAAATATAATTGGGATAATGTGAACGCTTTTGAAACTTCATTGGTCTTTTAAGTCATTTTCCCTAAATAATCAATTAAAAAATAATGCAAGAAATGAAGTAAAGTTGGAGATGAATGAAATGAACAATAGAGTAAATAATTGAAGTTGGGTTGGAGATGCCTATATACACTTTGGCTATATAATTCCTTGTGATTTATCTAATTACTTTTTCTTGTCTTGGGAGTTGGGTCGTGTTTGACAAAATTAACTAGTAGTTGGATATTAAAATTTGAAAACTAGTAGTTGATAGTTATAACTTTTATCTAGTATAATTATTGTACAAGAAAAATGGTTGTAAACTTTTAAATACGTAAGATTAGATAAAAAAAAATATAAAAACTCTAAAAAGATACTTGAAATATATTTTGGATTATGAGTGTTGTATTTAAAATAAAAACTAAAAGCAACTATCAAACTCTTTTTTCCATTTTTTTTCTTAAAACTTCTAAAATCTTTCAAAAAATTTGTATCGAACACTATTGATTTTTTTTTCTTGTTCAATTGTGTAATGCAACTGTAAAGTCTACATCTTCTTTCTATTCAAGAAACAGAAAGAAAAAAAATCCAATTAAACTCATTTGATTGGTGCGACAAAGTCTAGCTTAATCGTTCATCGATCATTCTCAGCTTATTTTGGTCCACTGCATGGCAAAATATGTATGTGGCTCACCTTATTTATTTACTAGGAAAAAAAAATATATGACTGATGTATTAAAATCTATGTTAGAAATTTGAATCCAAAACACAAGGCTTAAATAATAAAGTGGGATAAAATAAAATGCATCTTTGAAAACAATCTTTCTATATGTTGATGTAACTTCATATTGTAACCAATGTTTTAAAACCGGTTTGAACCGGTCGGATCAGAAACTGGGGACGAGAGCGGTTCAATAATGACATACTTATGCTAATTTCTAGACCGGATTAACCGTTTCTTTAAAAATCGAGTTGAACCGGTGTGATAGAACCGGTAAAAAATTGTTTGAACCGGTTTCTTGAACTTAGATAGTTGGATTTTACTTAGCTCGTTAAAAAAACAGCACATTTTAAAACCGCTCCACCATCACTACCACCATCTCCACCTCCACCTCCACCTCCGCCACCCCCACCTCCCCTACCTTCGCCACCACCACCATCATTTCCGTCATCACCAACACCATTTGTCTTTTTTATTATGAAGACTTTAAAAAACAAACATTTTTTATAAAAAACCAAAGACATGAAAAAAGACTTTTCATACATACTTTATTCCGATGACATAGAAAATACCGAAGATATTTAACTCTTAAAAAACAAACACCCCTAGAGAGCGTGATCATCAAAACATATGCATGAATAAATCATAATACAAGCATTTGAGCAAAAAATCATGTATCAGCATTAAAGACCATAAAGCAAGCCATATAAAGATGTTATGCTACTCATCTACAATGAAATTTAGTCTCAGCCGGCATCCTTAGATCTAGCCTAAAAAGGAAAATCCATTCATGTCTAACGCTATCTATAATACAACATGTAAACCAAATTATTTTGTCATGATTTTCTTATTTTTGGTTTTTTCGAATTTATCAATCCAGCCGTATCATAAGTGATTGGTGGGAATTCATGTAACGAAAAGGCCTGAAAATATTGCATCAAGTGGTCTTGATAAATGCTTCAACGGTGGTGATCGCGGTGGTCATGGTGGTGGTGGTGGTCGGCTCCACCATTCAAATTGGTTTTATGTGTGAAAAGTAAACAACGACCCCCTTATACAAAGCATTCTGATTCGTCTTCTTTCTCTGTCTTTCCTGAAATTGACTAATTTTGTCTCGTGTTGTTTGTATATATATGGTCTAAACTTGAACGGCCATGGTGTTCTGCTTAATTTCTGAAATCTATTGGGGATTATTATTTCAATCAGAAAACGACTTGAGCTAGATATTTTAACTACTGAAATTACAAATATATCCTCACGTTGAACAAAACCGTCTTATTTTCCCAATTGTTGCAAGCATACAAATCATACTTTTTTTTCTTCCATTTATCATTAATACCATTTGTAGATCTTATCCTATTAAGACATGCCACGTTGACAGCTGTTGAATGAAGAAAAAATCGTGAGACTAACCCTTAAATTGTTAAATAAATATAAGCAATAATAAGGCAATTTCTATCTATGATTTTGTACCATAAATTCATAATATCATAGTTTAATCTTTTTATTTTAAAGTAATGAAAATTGATTTATATTTGAATACTATTTTCATAATCAAGTTCATTCAAAATATGATGCTCTATTCAGAAGAAATAAAATTATGATGGTATACTTGATACAATTTTGTAGTGAAAATAATCTCGGATAATGATTAATGTTAAACATATCAATGAAAATATGTTATAATTTTTGCATTTAACATGATAGATAAACACATCTATATGGTCACTTAAACTAAAATTATATTTTTTGTATCTTCTTAAAATTAATTCTTTATAAGGATTTCTGTATATACCGATTTGTTCATTTCTACGCTTAAAACGAAATCAATATTTTCTTTTCATAAAAAGGATATTCTGAATTTGGTAATTTTATCAACGAATATAAACATGTATTTTTGTTACTATTATTAAATTAATTCTTTGAAAAAGTTCTATATTCTATATATAATTTTCCGATTTTTAAAATAATTAAAACACACACAAAAAAAAAAAGGATACGAGAAGATAAGAAAATTGGCGTGGAATTAGTTCTCGCATGTCCAAGTCCGAAATTGTTTTTCAACACATTTTTCTATTTTTTATTATAATTCCGTGCTCAGTCTACTCCTTTCGTTTGCAATCCTTTTCTTTTCCATTTTGGTTATCAATTGATCATCCATTTTTTCATAATATCAACTCTTCTAACCAAATAAAATAAATTTAAATAAAAACATGTCTTTTTTTCACAAACCAACCAAATATATTAAGATTGATATGTCATGATACATTTACTAAAGCATGCCTCGAAATAGCTCTCTGCGGTTCAGATGTCGATGAAAAGTGATACTGTGTTAAGCTACAACGAGATGAAACGTCGGTGGTTGTGCAGGGAATTTCAATCTAAAATCGACAAAAACAATAACTTTCTATTAGAGGTTACATTTGTAATTTACATTAGTTACAGGGTTAGAATTGTAAATATTATGTTTGTTAGTTAGGAGCTGAAGGTTGTTAGAAGATTTCTTCTCTTTGTATATGTACCTGTACAGATTCATTTGGTTAATCAATTTGGAGAATTCAATCTTAATCTTTCAATTCGTAATATGGTATCAGAGCGGAAACTTTGCTTCCAATTTTCTTCACTGATTGTTCATCTTCTTCTTGATTAATTGTCGTTCTCATTTGTTCTTCTTTTCAAATCGATTTACAAATTTGTTCTAGTGAATCATTATTCTTTTCGTTTCTATCAAAATCACAAATTGTTCTTGTGATTTCATGTGAAAAATATCTGGTTCATCAAGTTCATCTGGAACTTCAGTATCTCCAATTGATGATCGCATGTCACCTTATTACATGCATCATTCGGATAATCCTGGTTGTATTCTCGTTTCTCAACCCTTAGTTGGTGAGAATTACTCATCGTGGAGCAGATCTATGTTAATTGCTCTTTCAGTCAAGAATAAGGTAGGTTTCG